GGGGAAACGTGCCTTTTGGATAGGGGGGTTTTGTGAGTTTTTATTAGGATAGGGGAGAAAAATTCCGCGAAAATAACCTTTGTATAGGGGAAGGGGTCCAGGGGCCCAGCGGCCCAAGCCCCCCCACAAAATCCTAAAGTGCCCCCCCCCCCCCCCTGGGCAAAGAAGACCGGGTTCGTATCAATCAGAAGTAAAATGAGGTCATGTTTTTCTTTCCCCAGAACTCCGCAATGAAGAAAATCCCAATGTTTCCCTCTTTCTCTATGATGCTGTTGTCTTTAGCTCAGAATGTGATGTCGAAGGAAGAGTGTTACATAAAAACCAATGGCTGCAGTGTCCCTGGAGGGCTTCCGTTTTTCTACAAGACGACGTTCACCCCTGCTTGCGTCAAGCACGATGTTTGCTACTCCTGTGTAAGAATTCAAAAATCAGTCATTGCCTATCAAACTACGTACACAACCCGTTCACACAATTTTTTTTTATACGTTTCCTTGTTTTTATCGCGTATGTAAATTGGGCTTATAGAGATAGATATAGAGACATTGGTTGTCTACCATTTACAAGAAGTGTTCGGAAAATCAATAAAATACAGCTTACCTTATTTACCGCTTTACTTGTCTTTTTCTCGGGATTAAAGAAAATCGCTTAAATAGCAATGGATCGGAAAAAGAACCACACAGCAAGCAAAGACAAGTGAAGTAAATAAGGTAAGGTGTATTTGATTGAAAATTCTAGCGAGTATTCATCTTCTTGAATCTTTTACCTGAATTCCAATACAAATCCGTTATCTTCACGGCCATTGTAAGGGTTACGCACGCCAGTATGAAACCACATGTATTAATTAATGATTAAATTCTCATAGTGAGATTGGGCTGCCTGTGACCGAAACGGCTTCTTCAGGTAACGCTTACTAGGGTGGCTTTTAAATGGCTCCGTCCACATGAACCTGGTGGTTTCAAAAATGTCCGGATTTGTGGGGACATGCGGCCTCAGTCTACTTTTAGCAGGTCTTCCATATTTACGACACTTTAACGATCGCTGTGAGCCAAAAAGCTAAGATCAGCAATTACGATGATTTTACTGTACTGAACTCCTCCACCTTGATCGTAATGGTCGAACAGCGATCGTTCTTATAGAAAGGCTGTTTTTCATTCAACCTAGTCAAACTGCCATTAATTTCACGATTATATCGGCAGCTATCTTTCTTGGGCGATTTTAGAGCAACCATGATTTATTTGCCGTGACTGAACATGTCCTCTTTTAAAATCATGTCCACACAGGGTCAGCGCTTTGGTTGGAACCGATCTGGTTGTGACAATACATTCAAACAGGATATGTACAGGCTATGCGAGAAACAGTTCAGCCGTTTGATTTCCTGGCCAACAAAGTACGAACGATGTAAGTTTTTTGCGGATTTGTATTACAAGGCAGTACGTACAGCGGGTTCGTTGTACTGGTCAAATCCATCCGAAGACTGGTGCAAAAACGTTTGTACTGAGGCTCTTGGAGATCCTTCCAAGCCTCTGGACGTTTAAGATGACACCGAAAATGACAAATATATCAGTTAACAGCTCTCACCCACACGTCAAACTGGAAATCTTGGTCGAGAATTAATTAGCTATAGAGAAGTAGAGCGAAATAAAAGATTGTTCAAGAGCGTACATCAATGTTAATGAACTACTACTTGACATGGTGGGCTTATGTCACTATGATAAGCCACTTCCTAGTTCCAAAAACCCTCACTTTCAAATTGAGACCAAGTGAACAACCTTTCTTGTTAAAATGAGTTTTATTTGCACGAGAATGAAAATCATTTTCATATCAAAGGCTGAGCACTTAACCTCGTTTTGATACAGAGCAATTTTTTGACCATTTTTAAATAGTCAAAAAATAGTCTAGAAAGGATATTTTTCTATACAGAATATCGTCAAACACATTTTTTTTCCTTATTTTGTCTAAAATAATAAGATGGAAAGTCTTATACCAAGTCTTTGGAAAACTGCAATTTTTCGACTTTTTTAAATCAATGTTTTTATTGTCTAAAACGACTGTTTTTCGATGGAGAATATCGTCAAACACATATTCCTTGCCCAATTTTTATAAAATAGAAAGATGGAAAAGTCTCATATTCTTGACGAAAACCTTGGACTCAAGCATTTTTTTTTTACTTTTTAAAAGTGACGTTTTATTGTCTAGAAAGACTTTTTTCTATGGAGAATATCGTCAGTTACATTTTCCTGGCCTGTTTGGCATAAAATATAAAAAAAATGAAAAAAATTCAATTTTTTGACCAAAGCCATGGACTAACCCCTTTGGAAAAATGCAAGTTTTCAACTTTTTAAAATCGACGTTTTTCTTATCCAGACTGCAGGATTTTTTGTATCAAGGTTATCGTCAAACAAATTTTTCTTGCCCCCCTTTGGAAAAATGCTATTTCTTCGACCTTTTAAAGTCGATGTACAGTTTTAATTATCTAGACAGGCTTTTTTTTCTCGAGAATGTCGTCAAACACATTTTTCTTGCCTATTTTTTGCCTAAAAGAAATTAAGAAAAATTTCAAATTTTGACCAGAACCATGGACCAACCCTTTTGGAAAAATGCAGTGTTTTCGATTTTTAAAAGAGGTGTTTTTACTGTCTAAAAAGAAAATTTATTTCGGGTTTTTAAAATCAATATTTTTTTTTATCTAAAAAGGATGTTTTTCGATGGAGAATATCGTCAAACACATTTTTCTCGCCTACTTTTCAAAAAATAGAAAACTGGCAAATCTCAAATTTTTGACGAAAACCATGGACTAACCTCTTTGGAAAAATGCAATTTTTTCGAGTTTTTTATTAAATTGATCTTTCTATTGTCTAGCTTTTTTCTATGGAGAATTTCGTCAAACACATGTCTATTTTTTCAAAAATAAAAAGATGAAAATTTTCAATTTACCTTACCTATTTTGCATAAAATAAAAAGAAGAACAATTTTTTCAAATTTTTGAAGAGAACCATGGTATAACCCCTTTAAAAAATGCAGCTTTTTTGACTTTTTAAATTCAACGCTTTCATTGTCTTTCTATCAAGGACATCGCCAAAACCATTTTCCTTGCCTATTTTTTATAACCATAGACTAACTCCTTTGGAAAAACGCAATTTTTTCTACTTTTTAAAATCTTGTTTTTCTTGCCAAGAAAGGCTTTTTTTCTATCCAGAATATAGTCAACATATTTTCTTTTCTTGCCTTTTTTGCCCAGAATAAAAACATGGAAAATGTTTAATTTTTTGAACAAAATAATGGACCAAACCCTTTAGAAAAATGCGATTTTTTTTTTCTGCACACCTACATAAACCTCATATAAACCCATATACACCTTTTATACATTATATAGACCTTATGTACACCCATATGCACCCTTTATACACCTTATATACACACATCTAAGGAGCCGGGGGCTGCTCCCCCAGCTATTATTCTCCCCGGCTCGCAAATGAAAATAGAAGAATAATAGAACCAAAGAAATCCCTTGCTGTTTGATTCCCCGCCTACTTGCTGTATTTATCCGGTAACGTAACCTATAGCTAGTCATGATTGAAAAAAATATAAAATATTACACCCTGTTGGTGGAATCTCTAGATAGCGACTGGGTTTAATCCAAATGACAAGATCAGCTGAAATATTCTCCTTTTGGTAACTTTTTTTCTCAATATACACATCACCACATACATGTAACATTTGGATTTCAATTTTTTGCTAGAAATATTCCTTAATATTGTAATATTTATTATATTAAATGATATAGTGGCCACTTTACAATTCTACAAATAAAGGACTTCCAAGTTACAGAAAAGCAATTTAGCATTTAATTTCAGTGAAATGACAAAGTAAAAAAAAAAAGCTAAGTGACTGCTTCTTTCAAAGTCGCCGAACCACCTCGGCCATCCCAATTTAATGCTTCGTTTCCCATCACTCGACCGAACCATTGTTTTGGAAAAGTAAAAAAAAAATAAAAAAATCCAGAATCACTTGTAAAGAAGCAAGTACTTTAATTTACAAGCCCACGATCTTACGTTATTAACACCAATTGTCTTAAAGTTAATTATCATCGATACTTCGTTTTTGTAGCCTTTTTAGACTTATGATAGTCCTGGTAATATACATCTTTTACCATCTGATTATATCTTGCAGACTAAACGTGAGATTTAATATGCAATCATGTGTTCATTCTTTTTTTTTTACCCGACCGACCGACCGACCCACCTTCACGAGAGGGAGGGCGATGGGAAACGAAACATTTTATTCGGATGGCCCTTCTCAAATGAAGGTCAATACATGACCCTTTGGAAAAATGCAATTTTTTAGACTTTTTAAAATCGATGTTTTAATTGTCTAGAAAGGCTTTTTTTTCTATTAAGGATATCATCAAAAAAATTTTCCTGGCCTATTTTTTAGGAAGATGAAGAAATCTCAAAGTTTTGACCAAAACCATAGACTAAATGCAACTTGTTCGACTTTTTAAAATCGATGTTTTTAGTGTCTAGGAAAGCTTTTTTTCTATCGAGAATATCGTCAAACACATTTTTCTTGCCCACTTTTTGCCTAAAATAAAAGATGGAGAAATTTCCAATTTTTGACAAACTAATGAATAAAAAAATTATTTAAATGCTCCTCTTCTCTTTTTATGAGGAGCGTGCAAATTTTCCCTTCATATGAAGGTGAGGTAATTGTAGCTGCTAAAATAATAAATCATTTTAAATCGTTGTCTTTAATTATTCTCCATACCATAAGACTGGTGATTCTGCTAAAATTGAAGTATTTTAAAATCATAATTTAAACATGCATTGCCAAGTAAGCTTGTTACGGATCCTCTCACCGATCAGTGCTTGGACCCACCATACTGTGACAATATTACGTCAAATTAATTATCGGATATTTAACAATTATTCCTCGAGCCCGAATGGGCTCTGAGTCAATAGCCCATGAGGCCGAAGGCCGTACGGACTATTGACTCTGAGTGGCCATGAGGGCGAGAGGAATAATTGTTTTAGTAAAATCCAACTAAATGGTAAAAAATATCGACATAAAACAACTTTAGCTAGCAAAACGCGATTCAGCCGCCATTGTCTTGGTTTTTAAAGCCGGCGCCTTTCGCTTCTAGTGGGCTATAACATATAGCCTAGTAGTAGCTCAACCAATCAGAACGCACGCAGTATTGATAATGGACCACTAATTGGATTTTACTAAAAGAGGATAGACACACACAATTTGTAAGTTACATGAAGGTATAAAAAAACTAGCAAACAAATGCATATTTGTAATGGGCTGGACATTTCCAAAGTTGAAATAACAAGGTTAATAGATGCCCTCTCTACTGTTATACTGTAAAATGTGCAAAAAAAAACCGCTAAGAAAATTACCGTATTTATTCGAATAAGCGCCCAACCTCGAATTAGCGCCCACCCTACCCCACCTTCTTCCCACTCCCACTCAAACTAAAATTAGCGATCACCCCCCCCCCC